GGGGAGCGTACGGGGGGGGGACTGGGATAAACTGGGAATGGACTGGGATGGACTGGGAGGGACTGGGAATGGACTGGGAGGCACTGGGATGAACTGGGATGAACTGGGTCAGCCTGGGGAGGCGTCCCAGTGCCTCCCAGTTAATCCCAGTTCCCCCAGTACGTGGTGCCCCCCGCGCGGCGCTCCACGGCCGAGGCGCTGCAGATCGTGGCCTCGCACCTGGGCGCCCCCTGGTGGGTGGGAGGACTGAGGGAAAATGGAGGGAATGGGGAGGGGAGGGCGCCCCCCGGTGGGCGGGAGGACTGGGGGGAGAGGGAAGGAGCTGCCCTTCTAGAAACTTCCATAGAACCCCACAGAACCTTCCAGAACCCCCATAGTAACATCTAGAACTTCAATAGGACCCCACAGAACCTTCCAGAACCCCCACAGAACCTTCTAGAACTTCATTAGAACCCCATGGAACCTTCCAGAACCCCCGTAGAGACTTCTAGACACCCCCACAGAATCTTCTAGAACTTCCTTAGAACCTTCCAGAACCCCCATAGAAACTCCTAGAGCTTCAATAGGATCCCATAGAACCCAGAATCACCATAGAATCTTCTAGAAACCCCCACAGAACCTTCCAGAAACCCCTCAGAACCTTCTAGAAACCCCACAGAACCTTCTAGAACCCCCACAGAACCTTCCAGAACCCCCTTGGAAGGTTCCAGAGCCCCTCGGAAGGTTCCAGAACCCCCTCGGAAGGTTCCGGAGCCCCTCGGAAGGTTCCGGAGCCCCGTGGAACGTTCCGGAACCGCTCCCCAGGGCTGCCCCCGGACGGTGACGACGACGACGACGATGATGATGATGGCGACGGCGACCCCGCGGCCATCGTGGTGCCGCCCGCGGCCGGGGGCCGGACACGGCGCGTGCCCGTGGCCCACGTGCTGGCCTGAGGGACCTGAGTGACCGCGAGTGACCACGAGTGACCAGTGACCGCCTGGGAGTGACCACGAGTGACCACAAGTGACCAGTGACCACCTGGGAGTGGCCACGAGTGACCATGGGCTGGCCTGAGGGACCTGAGTGACCAGTGACCTCCTGGGAGTGGCCACGAGTGACCACGAGTGACCACTGACCGCCTGGGAGTGACCACGGGCTGGTCTGAGTGACCATGAGTGACCACTGACCCACTGACCGCCTGGGAGTGACTGCGAGTGACCACAGGCTGGCCTGAGTGACCACAAGTGACCAGTGACCTCCTGGGAGTGGCCATGAGTGACCACGGGCTGGCCTGAGTGACCACGAGTGACCACAAGTGACCACTGACCCACTGACAACCTGGGAGTGACCACGAGTGACCACGAGTGACCAGTGACCACCTGAGAGTGACCCAGGAGTGACCAAGTGACCACTGAGAGTCACCGAGTGACCACTGACCACCCAAAAGTGACCAGAGCTGTGGTCACTCATGGAGAGTGGACACAGAGTGGACACTGACCATCTGCTGGCCTGAGTGACCACTGACCACTGAGAGTGACCACTGACCACCTGAGAGTCACTGAGTGACCACTGACCACCCGGAAATGACCACAGCTGTGGTCACTCATGGAGAGTGGACACTGGAGTGGACACAGAGTGGACACAGAGTGGACACAGAGTGGACACAGAGTGGACACAGAGTGGACACAGAGTGGACACAGAGTGGACACAGAGTGGACACAGAGTGGACACTGACCACACCAGGGGTCGCCCGCTCCAATTTTTGGGGTCCCGGCCCCAAATTTGGGACCCCAACCCCAAAATTTGGGGTTCTAGATTCAGATTTTGGGCTCAAAACCCCAAATTTTGGGGTCCCGGGCTCAGATTTTGGGGTCAAAACCCCAAATTTTGGGGTCCTGGGCTCAGATTTTGGGGTCAAAACCCCAAATTTTGGGGTCCTGGGCTCAGATTTTGGGGTCAAACCCCCAAATTTTGGGGTTCCGGGCTCAGATTTTGGGGTCAAACCCCCAAATTTTGGGGTCCCGGCCCCATTTTCGGGACCCCAGCCCCACACTTGGGGTCTCACCCCCCGATTTTGGGACCCCAGACCCAAATTTTGGGGTACTGACAACCTGGGAGTGACGACGAGGGACCACGAGGGACCAGTGACCACCTGAGAGTGACCCAGGAGTGACCAAGTGACCACTGAGAGTCACCGAGTGACCACTGACCACCCAAAAGTGACCAGAGCTGTGGTCACTCATGGAGAGTGGACACAGGAGTGGACACTGACCATCTGCTGGCTTGAGTGACCACTGACCACTGAGAGTGACCACTGACCACCTGAGAGTCACTGAGTGACCACTGACCACCCGGAAATGACCACAGCTGTGGTCACTCATGGAGAGTGGACACTGGAATGGACACAGAGTGGACACAGAGTGGACACAGAGTGGACACTGACCACACCAGGGGTCGCCCGCTCCAATTTTTGGGGTCCCGGCCCCGAATTTGGGACCCCAACCCCAAAATTTGGGGTTCTAGATTCAGATTTTGGGCTCAAAACCCCAAATTTTGGGGTCCCGGGCTCAGATTTTGGGGTCAAAACCCCAAATTTTGGGGTCCTGGGCTCAGATTTTGGGGTCAAACCCCCAAATTTTGGGGTTCCGGGCTCAGATTTTGGGGTCAAACCCCCAAATTTTGGGGTCCCGGCCCCATTTTCGGGACCCCAGCCCCACACTTGGGGTCTCACCCCCCGATTTTGGGACCCCAGACCCAAATTTTGGGGTTCCGGACTCAGATTTTGGGGTCAAACCCCCAAATTTGGGGGTCCTGCACTCAGATTTTGGGGGTCCCGACCCCCAATTTTGGGACCCCAGCCTCATTTTTGGGGTCCCAAACCCAAATTTTGGGGTCTTGGGCTCAGATTTTGGGGGTCCCTGACCCATTTTTAGTACCCCAGCCCCAAAATTGGGGTCCCAACCCCAGATTTTGGGCTCCTAAACCCAAATTTTGGGGTCCCAACCCCATTTTGGGACCCCAGCCCCGTTTTTGGGGTCCCAACCCCAGATTTTAGGATCCCAAACCCAAATTTTGGGGTTCCGGACTCAGATTTTGGGGTCAAACCCCCAAATTTGGGGGTCCTGCACTCAGATTTTGGGGGTCCCGACCCCCAATTTTGGGACCCCAGCCTCATTTTTGGGGTCCCAAACCCAAATTTTGGGGTCTTGGGCTCAGATTTTGGGGGTCCTTGACCCCATTTTTGGGGTCCCAAACCCAAATTTTGGGGTCTTGGGCTCAGATTTTGGGGGTCCCTGACCCATTTTTAGTACCCCAGCCCCAAAATTGGGGTCCCAACCCCAGATTTTGGGCTCCTAAACCCAAATTTTGGGGTCCCAACCCCATTTTGGGACCCCAGCCCCGTTTTTGGGGTCCCAACCCCAGATTTTAGGATCCCAAACCCAAATTTTGGGGTCCCAACCCCATTTTGGGGACCCCAGCCTCAATTTTGGGGTCCCTGTCTCACATTTGGGGTTCCAAATCCACATTTTGGGACCCCAGCCCCCAATTTTGGGGACCCCTGCCCCAGATTTTGGGGTCCTGGCCCCATTTTTGGGACCTCAGCCCCAAAATTTGGGGTCCCCTCCCCCAGTTTTTGGGACCCCAGCCCCATTTTCAGGACCCCAACCCCAAATTTTTGGGGTTCAAACCCAAATTTTGGTGTCTCAGCCCCAAATTCTTGGGGTTCAACCCCAAATTCGGGGACCCTAGCCCCAGATTTTGGGACCCCAGCCCCATTTTCAGGACCCCAACCCCAAATTTTTGGGGTTCAAACCCAAATTTTGGTGTCTCAGCCCCAAATTCTTGGGGTTCAACCCCAAATTCGGGGACCCTAGCCCCAGATTTTGGGACCCCAGCCCCATTTTCAGGACCCCAACCCCAAATTTTTGGGGTTCCGAACCCAAATTTTGGGGTCACCTCTCCCATTTTTGAGACCCCAGCCCCACATTTTTGGGGTTCTGAACCCAAATTTTGTGTCCCCCTGCCCATTTTGGGGACCCCAGCCCCATTTTTTGGACCCCAACCCCAAATTTTTGGGGTTCTGAACCCAAATTTTGGGACCCCAGCCCCAAATTTTGGGGGTTCTGAACCCAAATTTTGGGATCCCAGCCCCGTTTTTGGGACCCCAACCCCAAATTTTTGGGGTTCTGAACCCAAATTTTGGGACCCCAGCCCCAAATTTTGGGGGTTCTGAACCCAAATTTTGGGATCCCAGCCCCGTTTTTGGGACCCCAACCCCAAATTTTTGGGGTTCTGAACCCAAATTTTGGGACCCCAGCCCCAAATTTTGGGGGTTCTGAACCCAAATTTTGGGATCCCAGCCCCGTTTTTGGGACCCCAACCCCAAATTTTTGGGGTTCTGAACCCAAATTTTGGGACCCCAGCCCCAAATTTTGGGGGTTCTGAACCCAAATTTTGGGATCCCAGCCCCGTTTTTGGGACCCCAACCCCAAATTTTTGGGGTTCTGAACCCAAATTTTGGGACCCCAGCCCCAAATTTTGGGGGTTCTGAACCCAAATTTTGGGATCCCAGCCCCGTTTTTGGGACCCCAACCCCAAATTTTTGGGGTTCTGAACCCAAATTTTGGGACCCCAGCCCCAAATTTTGGGGTCCCCTCCCCGTTTTTGGGACCCCAGCCCCATTTTCGGTTCCCCCGACCCCAAATCCGGGGCTCCCCTCCCCCAATAAAGGCGGGACCCCCCGAATTTCGCTCTCGGCG